TCACCCATTCTGCCATATTTTCGATTAGCTGGTGTATGGTACTGATTTCAGGTATCAGGAACTTCGTACGTGAAACTAAAGGCACCGCTGTGGAGTCGAGCAGTGATCAAATCTAACGGTTTGCAGATGAACTGTAGTAGTATGAGCTGTGAATGACTTGTATCGCGAAATGTATCAGGGAAAGATATCTGTTATTGCCTGTCCAGCAGAAAACAACTATTGAAAACGAACTGATCCCATGTGCTCAGGTTGTTAAATACCTGATGAATTCACGTCAGCGACTGTCTTCAGTGGTATGATCATGTAAATTATGTTTTTATCAAACCTATTCTTCTACATCTTTTCCGTTGCTAAGATTCTTGATACCATTTTCAGGTGATATGGTTTGCAACCGTTGCTGAGAGCTTGATACCAATGATTACGTATGTAGCCTAGTGTTTTTTGCTGGTCTACAACGAAAGGGTATTCTCTTTTTTTGAGCTCGTACTGTTTTGCTTATCCGCAAGATCAGCTTGACGAATGTCGCTTATTGATCTATAGTCTGTGCAGCGCAGCGACGTGGTAGCTTTAACGAATAGCCGCTATCTCTTATACATTGAGTTCAGGCGAGCAGTCTTCTTGCATGGATACGGTGGATTCTTCTGGGATACACGAAGCAAGTCAACGCCGTTCAAGCGAGCACTAGGTTTAGTGCACATGAATGCGTGTGAATATTCCCATCTTTTCCTGTCCGAAACACTGAAGTGCGCAGAAGAACAAGAATTTATCATTTTATAAAGTTTCCAGTCGCAATCTTCAAGGCGTCTTCTTGTCCTTCTTATTTTCTGACTTGTATATTTTTACCTCTCTGTTCCTTCCTGTCTACACCTTTAAACAAACTATGTAAATTTTTGGAAGAATCGACCTCCTCAACTGCCATCAGAGCCTCTGCGCAGTAGGTGACTGCTGGTCTCAACATACTCCACGCCCCAGCTTCTTCGTTTGCTCTCTCAGTTTACCCAGTTTACTCTTTCAATTATCTGTATAGTTTAATGGTATATCTCATTTAGTCAATATAATTTGTCGGTGCAAAGCGACATGTTCCAGCTTTACATTATGATAAGTCGATTCTCTACAGACCTGAAAATGGTATCGTCCTATATGGTAAAGCAAATGTATGGATAATT